TGCTCATCAGCATGGCTGCCTAAAAATGCTGCAGGATTTCTCAAACATGCATGAATGAGTCAAAGCAAGGCTTTGGGCATGTTTTTTATGAGAGTATAAAATTATAACATGATATAATCTCAAAAAAGTTGATTTTACATGATATTGCCCCTTTAAAATATGTCCAAAATTTTAAACTTTTTCCTATGACATGCATCAGGCTCACCGAGAACAAGGACTCCATGTTTATGGGCAGCATTGGTCCAAACGACAGGAGGAATAGTGACCAACTGATGTGAGAAATAGTTGAAAATATCTATGTACTGCCAGTGGTAGAAAACATATGGATTGTCAGCATGTGTCCCGTGGATAAACCTTGAAAAGACAAGAAAATAYAAAAATTAGAAACTTGGAAAAAGAACTTCCAACAGGGTAAGAACGAGAAGAAAACCCTGCAATGATGATCAGTAGATACCTGTCTTCCAGGTAGCCACCCATCATGTCATGGGACACCAACGTCCGAAGCCGACTGTTGGCCAGAGGAGGCTCCCGAGGAGCCAGAGGAACTACTGCCACATTGAAAGGATTCGCCTCACGTCGAGTCCAGGACAACAACTTCTCCAATGAGCAGAGACCACAGCTGATTGGTTCAGTGGTCTCCTCGTCGTAATGTTTAGCTGGAACGGGACACGAAAAAATAATCATAAGCATGATAAATCACATCAACAGGAACTGTTTCCACTACGATCAACTAACCGGGCAGAAGAGATGGAGTATACTTGATGACCTCAAGAACGCTCGAGTCCAAAGGTTGATCCAAACAAGACTCCAACCTGGAGAAAAGGTAAAGAGGGGTAGAAATAAAGCTACACACGTCCATCCAAACATTCAGCTCAGTGAATTGTGTGCAAAGAATCTAAATGCACAAGGTGTGAGGTTCCAACAAACCTAAAAAAACAAATTACTAAGAACGCCTTTAAATTATGATCCAACTCCTCCCACCTTGTTTTAGCTGTCCACACCTAACAAGAACACTAAAGGTATTTAAACATAAACGATTCATTCAAACCTATCTACTTTATGAGAACTCTTCACTCAGCACTACATGGTCAATTTGTTTAATCTGAAAGAACTACTTTTCTCTTTATACCTGTTTGTTTCAAAGCATATTGCAGTTAAGAGGTAATGATAACGTTTTAAGCAAAGATTTCATGCAATAAGTACCATACCAACTTTATTTATAAAGCACGTAAAACACCCACAGGACCAAAGTGTTCATTCAGTCATACACTCAGTAAAAAAATTAATAAAAAAATAATTAAAAATCAACAATACAAATGGTGTTCAAGGGCCAGAGAGAAATGATGTGTTTTAAGAAGGGATTAAAAAACACAGAGGGTTTCATCGTCGATGCCTGTCTGATGTCCAAAGGAAGGTCATTCCCTAATTTGGGAGTAGGGTTGGGCAATATTGGCAAAAAAAATAAATCACGATTAATTGTGGTATTTAGCCAATAACGATTAATTTGATGATTAATCCCCTGGAGTCCCTGGACACCCTTATGTCCTAGTCACATGACCAATTTAGTGGGAAAAATTTGCTATAAAAATCTGTTCAAATTTGTGTCAAAATTACTGATTTCAGGCTATACATCAACTTTTAAATTGTGATAGGTAAATAAAGTACTGAACTTTTTTTTATTATTTTGATCATATTTGAAGCAGAGAGGAGCACCGAGCGGACTGACCGGAGCAATCTCCAGTCAGTCTGCCTGGTGGCATTAATCGTATTAAGCGTCAAGTGCCAAAGAATAATTGATTAATATTTTTCTGACGATTAATAGCACACGATACGAATATGCCCAACCCTATTTAGGAGCTGCCACAGAAAAAAAAACAGTCTCCTCTGAGCTCACGTTTTGTCTTGGGCACAGTCAGGAGCAGCTGATCAGCTGACCTGAGGGATTGTAAGGATGTAGAAGTTCAGACAGACAGGGCAGGACAAGACCATTAACAGCACTGAAATCAAATAAAATAACTTTAAAATTAAACCCAAAATGTACGGGCAGCCAGTGCAGGGAGGCTAAAACAGTGGAAACATGATCAAACGTCCGTGTGCCAGTTAAAAGATGTGCAGCAGCATTCTGTACCCTCTGAAACTGAGATACAAGACTCACTGATGCCTGTATAAAGTGTGTTACAGTAGTCCAGCTGAGTGGTAACAAAAGCATGGACTACTGTTTCAAAATGTTGTTGAGAAAGAATTGGCTTTACTTTAGCTTAGCTGCCTCAAATGGTAAAAACTTGATTCAACATCTGCTCTGATGTGGTTTTCTAACTTTAGTCCAGCATTAACATTTGCCCCTAAGTTAGTAACAGTTGGTCTGATGTACTCAATGTACCAATACATCAGGTGTCTCAGTGGAGCTTGCAAAGATCATCTCAGTTTTGTTTTCATTAAACTTAATAAAAAAAGCCATCCAGGCTTTTATTTCCTCCTGACATAAAAACAGAGAGCTCAGAGAGTCRGTGTCCCTTTTGTTTAGACAAATATCTGAGTATCATTGGCATAACAATGAAAAGGGATCCCAAATTTTTTGAAGAGTAGAGCCAAGAGGAAGCAGGGACAGCATGAAGAGGACGGGGCCTAAAACTGAGCCTTGTGAGACCCCACACAAAATATGAGCAGAAGAGGACACCACCAAGGCAGAGACAAAAAGTAGGGTTGGCGATGTAGGACCTAAACCAGTTCAACTAAACACCAACATCAGCACCAGCTGTCCCGCTGCTCTGAGTGTTGGAGATCAGTCTCAGTTACTACCACACCAAATTGTAGCTCAGTATCGATAAAACTGACAGAGTTATAACCAGTGTGTGTTTTTAAGTTACGCTGTGGCAGCCATCTCACTGGTTTCATTCTACAACTTAATAAAAAGCTGTAGATGTATATCCAGTGTTACTTTCTGCAACTTTAATATCTGTCCACTGATTATAGTCTGCGCGTGCGCACACACACAGAGGCAAAAAAACATATGCTTAAGTTTATCAGTGCCAATTTGCCAATACCAATAAAAAAAACTAAATATAAAATAATTTCTTCAATCTAGTAACCTAATTTGATCTTTTTAGCAGGTGACCTTTGTCTCATGCACACAAGTCTTTAGGAAACCGACTGTCAAGTTAATAACTCCAATTAAAGCATGTTGACTCTTCCTCTGCTAACAGGAAGTAACGATAAAGCTATTTATTATCATCAAACAACCTAACATCAACAAGAAACCGTTCTCCAGTACTATACCGGCTGCTTTCTGTGTTTTCCTTCCCGTTTTCTACAACCTCTTCTGCAAAATGTTGGTTTTCTTTACCACTTAACGCCATTTTTTGGTAGCATTAGCACCAAAGCTAAAAACTGAAACAAGGAACACAGGAAAAGCATCATCCTCCAGCCCTTCAGAATAAAAGCGACACTTCCTTACATCAAATGAAGTGTTTTTATTTTACGCCTTATACGCTCATACTCTTTATTTTAAAAACACAATTCAGTTAAAAATCACTTATTTACAATAACGAGTCTAAGACTTTATGTATAATGTCTATTTTAACGGATTGTTCTCACCCCAGTAGGACAAAGGAAGCAATCTTTTGTTGTTTTGTTGACCAGAGACTGTTGTTCTGAAAAGACTGACCTCTATTCAGCAGATGAACAGAAAACTGACAGGAAACCAGGCAGCCATCATGGCTTCATGCGCTCTAAATAAATACTTCAAGGCTGTTGTAAGCATTTCAGCGCTAGATGAAGTTGATAATATAAGAAAAACAAACTTAAAATATCGCATGTCGGGAATATATTAGTTTGCTTTTATAGTAATGTACACACTTGTACTTGTGACAGGGATTACTTTATCATTACCACGTTATTCATGACACACACTGAGCTATTACACAATAAATACTTTTAATAACCATACTTCTGAATGTAATTTCACAAAAGAGCATACATGTTTTTAAAATTTGTATATTATCCCCGGATTTCATCGCAACATTCGCCTTGGATTTGGGTGGTCGTGTTTCTGGTAGTGATGTATACTAAGATATCTTAACCTGATATGATCTTTAAAGAGCTCCCCCATCTCCCCCCAGGAGGAAGTGACGTCAGGCAAAGCCAGCTGAACAGGGTCCTCCTTCCTTACATAGACCAGCATCCGTTCGAGCCAAAGTACCCGAGTAAACTTGCGAAAAGGATCTGCTCAAAATCCATCTTCATCCGTGGGAAATTCACGCGTGCCGATATTAAAAATAGCGGGAGCAGAAAGTAAACACTGTAACCTTTCTAACAAGCTACGTATTGTTAAAATACGATGTTAGGAGCATTTTGAAACAAGAGGCGAAAGATTGTCGGAGCCGACTTCATCCGGAGACAAAGTACAGAAGACAGAAACACTCGCTCGAACGGTCTGTTCTTGTCAGATTTTTTCGGGTCGGACAGTTTTTATTCGCATTAGAGGTTTAAACATTGAAAACAGTTTAAATATTTTGGAGCTAGCGAGCGTGCTTGCTAGCCTACAACAGATTACTTAACATGGAGTTGCGAGTCGGAAACCGATACAGACTGGGCAGAAAAATTGGAAGTGGATCCTTTGGAGACATCTACTTGGGTATGTTGTCTTTGCTACAGTGTTTGTTTGGTGTTCTTTTTATTTAACAGTGAAAGAGGAAGGACAACTGGTTCCTTTTTCAAGTTTCAAAACGAGTCGACGGGCAGTCAGCTGTTAAGTGCTCAATGTTAGCAATATTATCTGCCAAGCTAACAGTTTTCGGCTATCTCACACGCTGATTAGCTTTTATTTTTAAAAGAAGGAACATTAAACTGCTTTTTTATTCGATTCGGGGACTTATTTGTTTGTTACGATGCGTCCGTTTTACCTGAATAAGTGTTGGGACAAATACGGAAGCTGTCAGTGAAGCTAGCTAGTTTCTGCCTCTGCTCTGCTTGTGTAAACTGACCACAATAAAGCTGAGGTCTTAACCTTAAGCCTGACGAACACAAGCTGCCACCATTATGATTATATAATGTCATTTATAAATTACTGTCAATCTGCAGGTAGCCAATGGTTGATGACTTGTTTACATTTATGTTAAGGTTTTGTCAAGCTGTTTACAGCACAAATAGATTTATAGTGATGACTGTATTGTATCAGTGATCAGTAGGGAGTTACCTATGGAAGTTCAGGGCAGATAGAAGCGGAACAACAAACAGGAAATAACACACCTGGCCTATATTTGCATGTATTATGTCATTGGGTCCCATTGAGTTTAGTGTAATTCATCCCTCAGTGGCCTTTATTGGAGTTCTGCTGCTCTTTGCTGGAAACAGCTGATCACATTTTGACTTAAACTTGAACCACTGAGCTGTGGATGGTAGAAGGATGTAAACCAGCATAAAATTCGCCACCATTTGCAACCTAATCTGGCCCCTATAAGTCCCATCAGAGCACGAGTTATGTAATAACTTAAAGGTTAAAAGAGGTTATAACTCAGTTTTGCTGACCCTAGACTGAAATGTGTAAAAACACAAAACATGGTTCTAATGTCAGACTTTATTGCTTCGTCGTGAACAGTTCTGTCATTACTGCAGTTATTAAATAACCCATGGTATGTTGAATTGCAGGGGTGGGACTGGGAATCTTTTACTACATCACGATTTGATTATGGTTTTTGGGGCCGTGATTCAATTTAAAATCGACTTTTAATTTTTCTGTGTTCCCAAAGTGCGTCTTCTTCATTTTGCAAACCTTGCACACAGTGAAGCTCATGTCAAACTCAGACTCATTCAGTAAACACCAAAATGAGCTCAAATCTTTGCGTTCAGTGTAGACTGGGCCAGTTGAATCTCTCTCTCTCCTCCAGTTTTGTAGTTTCCTTTATGCCTTAGTGGTTTCTGCGCATGCATACGTTCCAGAACCAGCTGCGAGGTGATGTCAGGATGTCCCATGTAGTTAAAAAATGGAGGCTGACAGCCATTGGATTTGTTTATCTTTATTCAATTATTTATTTTTTAAATCTATTTTGGGACATATTAAATCAATTCTGGTTCTTTGTAAATAAGAATCACGATTCTGATGTGAATCGATTTATTTATTTTGGTATACCTCTAATGARTTGTCAACAACATGGAGTTTTGACATTTTGAAATTTTTTTCAGAATCCTCTWGGTCTGGAATGCAACTAAAAACACATTTTATGCCCCACTTGTACTAGCAGTAGTACTACTACACCACTAACTACTTATTTAGTTACRTTCTGCAACACTCATGACAAACATCCACTACAAAAGCTGCACAATGTATCAAATAATTGCTTTGGTATCAGTGAGCTCAATGTCTTTATTGCAAAAGACTGGGCTGCAATAAATTATTGTGTATTTGGTCAATCCAAGGAACTCTCAATGCCCACACCTTGTTTAAATAATGATGACGTAAGGAAAAATAATTGAGGCCTTTAATACATATATATACAGTATATATACAGTATATATACAGTATATATTAGGGCTGTGTATTGGCAAGAATTTGGCGATGCGATATATCCCAATATATTTCGAAACCTTGAAAAAATTTGATACAGTTCTTTAGAATATCGATACAGTATCGGGAAATGAAATATTGCGATATTTCAGTGTATCAATATTTTCTTACACCCAACTTCTTAGTTGTACAAAATATGATACAGCTATTATTTTTTTCACAGTGGTGGAAAAATGGTTGTCTCTACTATATTTCTGCTAAAGTCCCTGGTATATTTCACACTGGAGCTTAACATCCTTACAGTAATCTGTCACCAACATGTGAAGTGAAACAAGTTTAAGAAATCTATAAAAGTTAATTTTAGTTAAATCATGTCTTGTCATGGCAGCACAGGATTGACTCACTGCTTTGTTTTAGCTTATAAACCTAACATTCTTGTACGCTTCCTGTTGTTCAGTCTAATAGTGATAGCAGCCAAACTCTTGTATAATCAGTTTGTGTGTTTTTTATTGTCAGCTCTTGATTCTTTCCTGTCAGAGTGGCTGATGACTAATGTGTTGTAAGGTTGTTATGAGTAAGACCAATGCGTGGTTCTGTTAAATCACTTGCCCTGCTGTTGTTTCACAAGTCTTACAGTAAGACATTTTCCTAATTCAGGTTTTTTTTTCTACCCAACAAGCCAAGAACAGAATGAAAACTTGCGTTTCAAAAAGAAAACGACAAATGTTCAGTGGAAATTTAAAGAAACAAAAATATCTCCATTTGACGTATCAAATTGAAGTCTTAATCAAGGTTGTTGGGGTCTTTTGAAAWCTGTTTTTTTCTACCCCACCCCAATTTCCTATATTACAATTTTCAGAAGTTCATGTTCACTATAATTCACCAATAAACATAAAAAACCAAAAAACAAATTATATTTCACCCACTGGACATCTTTCAGCTTGACTAAGACAAAATGTCATCTTAAGTAGGTGACCATGTATCCCCAAGCCCCCCACAGAGAGACCGCCTGGTCCCATTTTCATAGTYGAACAGCTGGGTTCTTGACACGTGACCATGTTATAGACGGAAGTTAACATATTGATTTAGGGGACAATAGGAGTAGTTCCTCTGTGGGAAACATTGGGAAAATCATAAAAAGTTGCTGTAAAAGACTGCACTTCTCACACAAAATACATCCAGAGAGAAATTATTTATTTTTTCTGACTGCAAGAGCAAGAAGGGAGAAATGTTATGAGACCAGATGGGCATGTTGTGTCGTTCTGCCATTTACAGACCTCCAAAATGTTGCTCCTCGTACAAAAAATCACTCCATTGTTTTGATACAAAACACACAAAAACTGACTAAACACTCTAAATGACACCCTAATTATAAAATCCAAACATGTTAAATGTCACAGATTTAATTACTCAGTCCTGTCTCACATCACTGCAAAACTCCAGTCAACAGCTTGTCTGATAACTGAGCCTCTGTCAGAAATAAAGTCTGGGTTTTTTTATATTTTTTAGTTTGAGAGAAAGATGAGACGGATGGCTCATTGTGATGTTTTTAAACAAGATTACGTGTTTCCTGCTGCCTATGGCTGCAATGGGATTCAAAATAGATAATTTTCAGTAAAAAAAGTAACTTGGGTTTTACTTGGCCTATCAACCCAATTTAAAAACTGATAAAGTTTGAAAAATGTACTTTTGACATGATTTGTAACRGTCTCAGAGAGGCTGTCTTTCCAGCTTGTGATTGAAAACAGTCATGTGAATCAATAATGTGATACTATACTGCTGTTGTGCATCAGCTCCTCATCCATACAACACTCTTAAATATCTTAAATATGTGTAATGCACACAAAATATTATACATAATTAGCTAAAAACAATCTGAACAGCACTAAATGGACAGAAARTGCAGCAACAGAATCCAGGTGGTCCTGTGTTGGTCTTTTACTTCCGATAAAATGTTTGGAGCTTGATGCTGTTTTCACAAATTTATTTACTGTAAGTTTAAACACAGCTGAACTGGTGCACTGTGATTGAATAATCACAGTCACGTGACATGTGTTCTAAAAAATAACCTGAGTGGAGGTCCACATGGTCCAACACCCTGATCTTTAAACTCTCTCATCACAAATAAGTAGAAATAAAGAAACTGGATCATAGTCAGGGGCAGATCTAGAAAAAAAATTAACTGGTTGGCAAAGACAGGGCAGGAAAAATGCAGGGGGTGAGGTGGAGCTTTATGTGTTGATGAGTGGAGAAGCTGCTCATCACATCTGGACCTTCTCTAACCTCACACATCCATTTTTTCCACATCACAGAAATCATTATGGGCTGCATTACATTGTTTTTATCCATCAGTATCTCAGAGATACTGATGGATAAAAACACTGTAACCAATGATCTCTGTTACTAATTCATTCTAASCTTTGAGCTATCAGGTTGTATTTATAACTGCAAGTGATGTAAATGTCATTTTGACTTTCATTTTGTATGCTACAAACAGGTCATCTTGAAGTGTGTTGGGGCCCAAAAAAAATTCAAAAGCATTTTATTTTTTCACCCCAAAATGGTAAATTTTAAGCTTAAACTTTTCCTATGATTGCAATGTACTATTATTGATAAAATATAGCAATGCTGTTGTTTTTTATTTACTGTACTTTTTAAACCTTTTAATAGTTGGGGTTGTAAACACTAATTCACCCAATTATAAAGAATTACAACACTTAAAGAACATTTATTGGAAGTAAATATAGAAACTTAAATTTAAAAGCAATAAAATGAAGTGCATTTATTTACCAGTCAGTTTTATTTACTGTTTGCAGACAGTATAAATCTTTTTATAATAAACTAAATTACAACTTTTATTAACAGAATGATAGATCTAGAAAGCTTTGACATTTAAAACATTCACTAAACACCGGAAAAGTTGTGTCAATGTCTTTTGTACCAGACAAGCTAGTTGATCATGTAAAAATACAGAATTTTGTCATGTCCAAAAAAGGTGTATGAAGGGGTTTACCAAATTTGAAAACTGTTTTACGCTGAAGTCACAGCATTATAAAATGTTGCCTCGGGCTGTTACTGGTCAGACTAGAACTTGTGAAACAGGTACTCAGGTAGTGACGTCTCAGAAAAAATGAGAATGCTGCAGCAGTGTATGCTAACAGGGCGGAACCCATAAAAAAGCTAAACTAGCAATACAGTTTGTTTATTGCTGTCATAATCAGATTACTAAGATRTGAGCAGACCCAATGACTCACTAATAAAACTAATGACGCCTTTTTTAACGGCAAGCTGACGTAATCTATGTAAATGTCTTTTTTTGTAGATTTTTCTCCCGTGTGAAGTAACTAAGTGCTGTGTTAACAGCTCTGCACCATTTGACGCTACAGAGCCCTAGAAGCAGATGAACCACAAACTTCAGCGTTATCTGTAGTGCTGTACCAAACGATTATTTTCTAATCGATTAATCCAACGATTATTTTTTTCGATTAATCGATTATTCT